TGCCGATGAGTATCTTCGCATTGGTGAAGATAGCACAATTGAGTCTGTGCGTAGATTTGCGAAAGTGATCGTCCGTGTCTTTGGTCCCGAGTATCTTCGGGCACCAAATGAAGATGACACAAAGAAATTGATGGCAGCTAAAGAGAGGAGAGGTTGGCCTGGGATGCTAGGTAGTATTGATTGTATGCATTGAAATTGGAAAAATTGCCCCAAGACTTGGCAAGGAATGTATTGTGGCAAGTCTCGTGATGCAACAATTGTGCTAGAGGTTGTAGCATCCAGGGATTTATGGATTTGGCATTGCTTTTTTGGTATGCCCGGCACACTCAATGATATCAATATGTTGCAACGCTCTCATTTGTTTGCTAGGCTTGCTAGTGGTGATGCTCCTGCTTGCAACTACACTATCAATGAGCATGAATACGCAAAGGGGTACTATCTTGCAGATGGTATATATCCTCCTTGGTGCATATTTGTCAAGAGCATCAAAGAACCCAAAACTAAAAAAACAATGTGAATTTGCAAGGGTGCAAGAGGCAGCCCGAAAAGACATTGAAAGAACATTCGGTGTTTTGCAATCTAGGTTTGCCATTGTCCGTGGTCCTGCTCGTTTTTGGGATAAGAAAACCCTGAAGAACATCATGACTTGCTGTGTTATCCTGCACAATATGATTCTTGAAGATGAGAGAGGAATGAACTTAGAATTCTTTTACAACAATGTGGGTAGCTATGTCAAACCAGTTAGAGACCCAAACCGCATTAGAACTTTTCTTCAGACATACAAGGAGATTGAAAATGCAGACACACACTTTCAGCTACAGAAAGATCTCATTGAGCACCATTGGCAAAGGGCTGGACAGTGACTAATTTTTGTATTCATTTGTATTTGTATTCATGACAAGTTTTGTATTGCATTATTTTAAGTTTGCTACGGTGATTTGAATAATTATTTGTGATGCGGATGATTATTGTTTTATGTTTGATTTGAATAATTCAGTTTGTTTTCGATTGTTGTATTATGTTGGATTTGAGATTTGCGGGCTGATGATATACGAGGATGCAGCGGCGCAAAAAGCAGAACCCGCATAGCCGACCCGTAAAAAAGCATATTTCACGAATATATTTTTTTACGGATCCGTTTGAGAAAGTCTGCGTCTGTGCCAGCCCGCGCCGGCTCGCAAAAACTGTTTTGCGCGAACTGTAAACGCGTTTTGCGGGCCGGCGTTTTGCGGGGTCTGCTAGAGTTACTCTAAGCTTATCATGTGGCTTAGACACGGAATCATAAATTCCCGTGTCAACGCTCCCATTTTGACATGAAATCTCCGAGCTGACTGAACATCTCAAGAAGAAAAGGCACGTTGTTTCAGTGGTTTGGAAAAGAAGAGAGAAAATACGCGTGGTTTTTGAGCCTCCTATGTACAGTACTCCAGTAGGACCTCATATGATAAGACATTAATCTCCTCCAACTGCCCCTTGGCCAGCGGCCCAGATGCCGATCGATCGCCCGAGGAAGAAGATGCATAGACATATGGCCTCTCCTTTCCTCAAGAAGAACGATGGATGTGCTTTGACGCAATCAAGTCCCCAGCACACTGTCTGCGGAATTAAAGCCTTCCCATACACCGGGACTAGCTCAAGAAACTCCGACGGCCACTAGTACCTAATATCATCCGAGCACGCACGGTCGTAATGTTCATGAGATGAAAGATACGCTCATGAATGGTACGCCACGCGACGCGAGAGCACGTCCCTTGCGTTTACATGAACGACGATGGAGTCCACCCTTCCATCCTTATCACGACCGGCCGTCGCTCACCATCGTGCATCGCGGGGAGGAAAATGTTGGGCCGGCTAAACAGACCCGTGATGCAGCAGAGCAGCAACATCCCGAGACTCATTTGCAGGTCTCTGCTTCTTCAGGGTCTGTATTTTTTGACAAATTTGACCCTTTTGAGCGACTTGAGGCACATCTGGCCCTTAGACAAAACTAATTTGGAATCTGGCCCCGGGATCGACGCCACATAGCACGGCGTTGAAGTTGTACATGTCAACGCCACACTACATGGCGCCGAGATGTATAAGTTTGACGCCATACTATGTGGAGCCGAGCAAATCTGACCCTTAGGGTTTTTATGGGTCCATCTGAAGTCGGCTCCATGTAGCACGGCGTCGAACTTGTACATGTCGGCTCCGTGTAGTGTGGCGCCGACATATACAACTTCGGCTCCATGCTATATGGCGCTGACCCAGGGGCCAGATTTCGAATTAGTTTTGCCCAAGGGCCGGGCATGCCTCAAATCGTGCAAAAGGGCCGGATTTATCAAAAAAGAGTACATATCTGGTGGAAACCACATATTCAGTGGAAGCACGGAAACTTCATCATGTGTCGTTGGGTAGGAAGTGTATGGTGTGAGATGATAAGATGTACAAACTGCAAAAACAACCCCGTAATCTTAATGTACGGTGGTACATTATCCTAACGGAAGCTGAGCCATCCCGTGCCTTAATCCATGGAGCTATCCCGATTCAATTTTCTTCCATCAACAACTAGGGTTAGGAGATCTGGAGATGGTGGCTTCGACCAACAAGACGCCCTCGTTCCGCGCACGGCCGGCGACCGGCGACCGGCGCGACTAATTCCTCTCCAGCGGCTGCCTTCTCTCCTCTCCGGCCGGTGGCCCACTGCGCCAACCCACCACGACGACCTCGTTCCCGCAGGGCCGGCGACCGACCGGCGCGGCTAATTCCGTTGCGGCAGCTGGCTTCTCTCTCTCCGACGTATGGCGCACCGGGCCAATCCTCCTCTGAGCGCTCCCCATCGAATTGGTACTGGATCCAGGTCCGAAGGTATGAGGATTTCTATCACATTGTTCATATTCTATGATGTGCCATATTCTCTTCTAGTTGGGCTAGATTTGCCAAGGAAATATAGAGGACAAGGTCGTGGATTCTGGTTGTCTCTTTCAAGATTAGCCTTCTGAACAGGATCTACAAAGCCTTTTTCCTCAACTGAAGCAGTTTCAGTAGCCTCTCTGTAGATCTGAAAATAAGCATATCTAGAAAACTTTTTACACTAGATATAGCCATAAAGCAACCACGTACACAGTCATTTATCACAAAAATCTGTCACCAACTGGAATGTAGAACACTTGAACTCTCAGTTTATGTAATGCAAAAAACACATATTTCCAGCATGCATAGTCCATGATCAAAGAACTAATTATACACTGAAAAACTGGGCACACAAGATCAATGTACACGCAAACCAAGATCCAGCAAGTTCAGTTTAGATTTTCGTCTTGAGGAAGTTGGTAAAGTCTAATTCATCTGGTATGTAGTTGTTATATTAATGCAGCAACAGGTATGTCCTATCATGCTAAGTTGACAATACTGTAGAACATGATGGTTGTTCTAGGCATATTTATTAGTGTATAGTTATTAAATGAAGGAAATCATTACTTCTTATAGACTTTTGTGTGATATGCTGGGATATAAGAAAGGAGTTGAAACTGTTTGAGCATAGGAAAATTGTATGAATGATGTTAGCTATCAGTTTTAATTTATATTGCAATTGATTGGGGAAGTGAGCTGAGATTAGGTATTCCTAACATTTGAATGTTCTTTCTAACATGATTACGGTACATTTATTTGGACTTAGTTTAGAGAATACTTCTAAAATTTTGCTTGCTAATAAATACAACACATTGATGTATCTATATTTGTAGATTTGTTTTGAAATTCGTTTCAAAAAATTAGGTATAATTTCTTGCTATTTTTCCTAGTGCCCTAACCAATTGAACTTTTTTGTTCCAGGTTGCTTGGTGGCACTACTGGCTTCAGCAAATTATTAGGACTAATATACTATGGCATTGTGATGTTCTTATCTAGTGTACTGGAGCCATTAGCTATTGGCGCTAGACTTATGCAAGTTATTAGCTAGCTATGTGCTTTATGACTGATCGATGTATAAAGCTGCAGATTTGCCATCAGTTAGTGATGCTCTATTTTGTAACTTTGTACTGTAGTAAAGCATTATCTTAAGTGACTGAATAAGATTGATGCTGCATAATGACACTGTGTGCAACTGACCTGATTGCTTTAAGTTTATTATTTAAACAATGATTTCAATTGTTGGAATGTGCTGTGCGAAGTGCAGGTGTGTTCTGGAGCTGGGCAATGGTTTTGATTATGGTTGACGAAAATGATCTGGGCAATGGTTTTGGCTGTTGTTTGTTCTACTTGGATTTGCAAGGAACTGGGCAGACTTCAATATTATTTTATGATTCTAATCTAAACGCTATTAGGATATCAAATATCGAATTAAGCTAGCTCTGATATGGGGATCATATATGGAGAAGCACAGGTGTACGTGGGGACATGTGCAGACTTGTTGTAATACTTGGAATCAATAGGGGGTTATGTGTAAAATAGAATGCTGGCAACAGTCGTTTTTCTGCAAAACTGCATGTAGCAGTTATGGCTGAATCTAGTCCATAGATACAAGATCCAACAGCCTATGCCCAAGTTTTCATGCTTTCACTGAATCTGTGGTTTCCACCTGATATTGTCTCATCAAAAAAATACTCAGGGTCTCTGAATGAATAGTATCTGCAGGCATACAGACCACTGCACAATGGATCTCGCAGCCCAACTGGACCAGTGTCGTGCACTCATCCATCGTCTACGCAGTAGTTTCGATCCTTCGGGGGTGAAAGAGGAATGGCAGGCTGCGCGTTCAGTTACGGGACCCCCATTGACCAAGTGCCACGCGTGCAGCCGGCACGGCCTGAGCCGTACAAGCGCCGACGCGTGCAGCCTGCGCGCCTGCCACCGCGCCCTGCCACACCACTGTACTGTACATCGCGAAGTCATACTGGTCGGGCCGTCGTTTCCCCGGAAACCGGGGCGCGCATCCTCGCCATCTATATAGCCCGCCACGCACAGCCAAGCGAGACACTCAAAGCTTCCATCGCCGATCTTCAGGGACCGAACGAAACGACATGGTGGCCACGATCGAGGACCTGCACGCGGACGTGCTGGCCTGCGCGCTGCGCCGCCTGGACGGGCGCTCGCTGGCCGCCGCGAGCTGCGCCACGGCGGGGCTCCGCGCGCTCGCCGCGGACCCGGACACGTGGCGCGCGCTCTGCCTCGCCGAGTGGCCGTCCCTCGCGGCCCAGCACTGGTTCCTCTCAGCGGTGCCGCCGCGCCGCCTCTTCGCCGACGCGTCCCCTTTCCCTTGCCCGGACGCCGGGGAGCCCGGCGCCGGCGGCCTCCCCGCGAGGCTCGTCTCCGCGGTGGACGTGTACTGCAGGGGCGCGCCCGTGCTGTCCCGCGTGGCGGAGACGCCCGCGTCGTCGCCGTGGTTCCTCAGCTCGCCGTTCCGCGTCGACGCCGTGGACTGCAAGAAGCCGGCGCCGGTGGCGGCGGCGTTCTCTCCGGCGGAGCTCGAGCTGAGCTGGGTGGTCGTCGACCCCGCCCGCGGCCGGGCGGTGAACGTGTCGAGCAGGCGGGCGGTGGCCCTGGGCCGGCACTGGTACACCGGCGAGACGCTGGTGTGGTTCGCGGTGGTGCTGGGCGGGTGCAACTTCGAGACCACCGTGGCCTGCTCCGAGGAGGCCGGGCACGTCAGCGAGGTCAGCCTCGCCGTGGAGAACGCCGACGGCGCGGCGGTGAGCGGCGAGGGCGCCCTCCGGCTTCTGGCCTCGGCAATGGAGGGGCCGAGAAGGGGAGGCGAGAGAGAGCGGGAGGAGGCCAAGGCGAGGTACGAGGTGTTCGTCAAGAGCAAGAAGGGGGGCAAGGCGCGAAGAGAGGTGCTCGTTGACCTGTGCTGCTCCGCCGCCAGCGCCGTCGCCGTGATGGCCTTCTTTGCCACCGTCGTGCTCCGGTAACAAGTTCTTTTTGCCACCGACGGGCGGATCCAGCAATGAGTTCATTCATGCATGATGATGTAGGTGCACAGTAAGCATCATGCGTGAAATGAATTGTTTCGTGTAAGATTCCTATATGGGCATTTCTGCGCTCCAAATAAGACGGCATCAAGCAAGAACTAACGTATCCCGCAAAAAAAAAGAACAAGAACTAACGTGTATTTACATCTTCTCCCTGGCAGCTAGAGTGTTACATCCATTCTAGTGACAAACTTTTCCTCCTAATAAATTTAGGTGAAAATGACAGAGAAGTGGAGAGACAGAAAAATCTGCCATGCAATGTGTGACATTCAAATGACACAGTTCTCCCTCCTTAGGCTGGTCACAATGGGCAAGAACATAAGCTAGTAACATACACAATTTCCTAGACTATGTTACTATCTTCATAGTGGGTAGGAACATCTATGTAGTGTCATGCAACAATGTATTTATTAGGTTATAGACTCATTGTTTTTGGAGTGTGTGATGTTCCGGTAACTTAGCTAGTTACCACAAGCACCTCTCTCTTCATTAAATATGTGCCACATAAGCAAAGTTGTATTGGAGTGTGTGATGTTACTCCTAAGTTCCTCCCCATTGTGACCAGCATTAGGTATGGGGGGAAAAGTATCTACCACTGAGTGCATTGGCAGCCACAGTACGCAAGTACGATCAAAATCTACTGTTCCCCCACCTACAGCAATTAATGAAGTTTCTTTGAAGTACTCCTGCTAAGTAGGAACAGCAAAGCATTGGCTCCAGGGCAGCCACGGGGAAAACATTGTTCTAGCACAGGATTGCATCAGCAACCTGTCGATGTCCACGAGGTTTAAAGAACAGGAACATCATCTGATATGCCCTTGGATGTGTTGTTCTTGCAAAACATAAAATTCAGCACAATATTACGCGTCGATTACATTAAAAAATTATGTTCTTGCAAAACATAAAATTCAGCATAATTACACATCGGCTTTTCTCTAAGAGCATCGCAATCTACTTTATTTATATTATTTTTGAAGCTACAAGCATCAGCACAACACGCATTTTTTCAGGTGTTGCCGACTGGCTTAGGAGGGCCTCTTGCTATTGGAACTACGTCTGCGGCACGGTCCTGTTTAGCCTTTGCAATGTCGACATATATAACTCGCCCATTAAGTACCTGTTGCAAGCTTGCATTGCTCAGCTCTTCTTTTTTTTCAAATGGAGCGGCAAAAAATACAGATTACTGATATATTGAACTAGCAACAGCACTATAGTGATAAACGCACGGTTCCTGCTAGTTCTTCAAAAGAAGAGAAGAAAAGAAAAACTTGCCTTGCCGTTCATCTCTTCCCGTGCTTTACTGGCCTCTTCCTCGGAGGCAAATTTCACAAAGCCGAATCCTTTTGATCGGCTGGTCATCTTATCCGTGACAATGGTTGCTGAGCTCGAATAATAACAAGTTGCAACTTAGATCGCAACAACAAGCAAAACAACTAGCAGCGGAAGTTTGTTCTGGCAAGTGACAAGGATAAACCTTCTAATACTTGGCCATAGCGCGTGAAAGCTTCTGCTAGGCTGTCTTCCGTTGCAAATTGTGACAAGCCTGTAATACGATTAAAAACTAAGACTGTGTCAGAGAGACAGTTCGTTCCTAAATTGCATGTAACAACTGTATCCAACTGAACAGAGCCCAACGATTCTCAAATATGTAGGTTCTTCGATCCAGTAATAATTTCAGCTTGGATGGAGTGAGACAAAAATATCTTTTATATCAATCAACTGAGAAATATATTAGTGCCAAAACCCAGAGTACTTGCAAGAAGAACATGAAATGAACTGAAATTAGTATGTTAAGTGTTAACCCATGATCGTTCATTGTAGATCAGCAGCAACTAACAAAAGCTTATATGTTGTACTAATAAAATCTAGACATAATGATAGGAAAAAATTGAAGTTATAATAGTGAAGTTGACCTTAGTAATGTATAACAAATGCTAGTTTGAATTACTTCGGCTCTTTTAGTTAAATTTACCCTTTTTTGAAAAGATGGTAAACCCTTTTAATTAAATTTACCTAAGTAACCTGATCACTCATGTGGCATTTATAATGGAGCGAGAGGTATTCCATGCTTTTGGTTATAAAATCCAAGAGCGTAAGCCCCTACATAGCAGGTCCTACTCACTGTTGGCATGTTGAAGGCAGACATTTTCGGAACAAAAACCGGAAGATATATAACATCTGGTTACCCATGCTGATCTGATCAACAAAATCTCTGCTAAAAGATGGGTTACATCTCCTAAACTTATTCCCGAGAGCATTAGTTGTCACTTAAGCTAGCAAAACAAAATGAGCAGCCACGTATGGCAAAGCATCTATGAAAGATCACCACAAGTAAAACACAAGCAGATGCACTGGTAAATGGCAGTATTGCAATTTGTCGAACAAGGCATGAAACTGCTGCCTACACGAACGAGCATTTCGTCGAACACTTGCTATGCATGCGTCCACGGAGCCACGAGCGCATTCACACGCTTCTTGTAACCGCTGCACGCGTGAGAGCCGAGAGAGAACAGCGGTTTGAAGTGAGACTGGCCGGGGATGTGATGTAAGGGGGGATGTGCGGTGCGCGTCAGGAAACGGGAGTGGAGGGGTGAAAACTTTAACCTCCGATGAAGAGCTTGTGTGTGATGCCGCGAGAGTGCGTGAGGAGCAGCGGGCGCGTGGCGCCGCCGGCGGGGGTCCGTGTGGAGGTGAAGGCCAGACGCGGGAGGCCTCACGCAACGCCGCCATGGCCATGGCTATGCCTTCTTTCCTTTCCTTGGGAAGCGAGGTGAGTCGGCTGGGGGGACGGAGCCGGGAGAAGCGGGCGGCCAGTTCGTCGCTAGGGGCGTGTTTGGTTACCGCATACAGCCCAACCACACCCGCGCGAGAAGTTGTTTTTTTCGAGAATACACCTAAGCGTATCATACTTTTATAGAAGGCAGAATGATAAGTACAAGATGACTATCACTCGCTGCGAACAACGAGTGTAGCACAACTACCACATCCAGGCCATCAACAACCACACAACACTACAAAGCACAAGCGCTTGCCCAACAGATAACAACACCGCGTCTCAACCCATGTCGGCACCTCCGAGGACCAACTGCTCCCACAGAACTTCACTTGTCAACGCACCAGCCACCCTGAATGCCGAAGAGGAAGTGGCAAGTAAATGGCAGGACTTGATCCGATCCGAGGAAAACACCGTCTTGGACACACCGACGACGGCCGTGCATAGCGCCGCCGATAATCAAAATTGGGCCACAGCGAACATCGGAGGAGAGCAACAAGTAACCAGGCCATGTCTCCAAACACGATGCTCTCAACAGAGAAACGAGGTCAAGTACGCCGCCATCATGCCGATCCGACCGAATCAAGGCTTTTGCCCGGAGCCAACAACCAACTCCAAACGAGCGAGGGAAATGTCGAATACACTCGGCAACGCCTCCAAGGAGGGAAATGACACCCACGGGCGCCACCGCCGCCGGCCCAGCAAGAGCCGTACAAGATTTTCATCCCAACATCACACATTTCACCACCTCGAAGGAATTGGGCAGCACCATCCAAGATGCTTCGCACCGCCGCCACCGCAGCGCCTCGCCGTCGTAGCTGCATAGCCGAGAGCCACCGACAGACAGCACAGCATGAAAAACACCGCCCACCAAACACCTACAACCTGGCCAAGGATTCGCAGCCACCCAACTTCTCCAGCAAGGGCCAGGACCGCCACCGAAGGCTATCATCCGCTCCAAGTGACAGCCTTGCGGCGATCCAACACCAAGCCGCAGACAACTCCCACGCCGGCACCACCGAGAGAGCACCGTCGCTCACCACACAAGCCCAGAGGGGCCCGGACGCTCGCTGCTCGCCAGGAACTCCATCCTAGCCGAGCCATCGCTGCTCCGCCACCAATCTGGACGGTGGTTCGCACCGCCATCTCCAGCACGCGCCGTCGCCACCAAGCCGTCACACCACACCACACCGCTGCAGACCCCGCCAAGACTCCATGCCGCCCGTTATGCTCCGTCGTCGGCCACCACCACACCAAGCTCCCAACGCAACCGCCGGCACCACCACTGTGCCTGGCAGTCATGGAGGTCCGGCGTCACCACGCCTGCCGGCAGCCACGACCGAGAACGGGCCGGCCAGATCCAGATCCAAAGAAGAGGATTGGGGCGGATTCGAAACCAGCGGCCATCACAGCCGCATGCAGCACCACCGTACGGGGCTCAAACCACCCCCGCAACCACCGCGCCAGGCCGCCGCCGCCACGAATCGCGGAACCACGCCACCAAGCGCCGCCGGACACCGAGCCACGCGCCATGGCCATGGGGTGGGGAGTCGCGGCAGCGAGGGGGATGGGAGGGACGAGGGTCGGCCGGCGGCGGCAATCGAGGGTTCCCCCCCGTGTCACCTCGAGGAGGGACGCGGGGGTCTGGAGCGAAACGGGGACCCACGCGGGAAGTAAGAAGCCTGTTTGGTAGCCCGTATACACTATTGGTATTGGGCCTGCATCGCACATTTTTTAAAGCACCTCTGGGCGGGCTGACTGGAAGCCTAAGAATCGGCAGTTTCTGTGGAGCCAGGCCGAACGGGCCTCTGCACTAGGAGAAACTGGAGATATGCGAGGTGTTTAGGTGGTGTCTTCTTCAACCTCGAGTAAGCTCCTCTCTAATCTCCTCTTTTCCATGCCCCTCTAATCTACACAATGATGCTTCGATTCATGGTAAGCTCTACACGAAAAAGATGCACATTGATGCTACGGTTCCATTCAGGCGATCGGTTCGTAGTTTCGTCGGTCGTAAGTTCTTAATCTCGTGTTCCCGTTTGGAGCTATTCTGGACCAATTTTGTCAGATTCGTCACGCACAATCGATCATTTGAAATTTCCTTTGACCAGCAGTCTAATCACGCAGTTCCTCGCAATATTCGTGTTGTAAGTTTTTGGTTTCGACGGTCGTATCTTCATCTCTCTTTGAACAGCAGTCTACTGCACTGACGCCGTCATGTCAAGCTCCTCTATCCTCTCCTCAGAGCCCTCCCATTCGTCCCTCTCGACGCCGAAGACCTTCCCCTTGATCTCCTTGCCTGTGTGCTACTATACTAGAGTCGTTTATGGCGTCACTCATCTCGGCCTACTCTTTGTCGTCCTCCTACTATACTGACGCTGCAATGACGCGCACACTACTTTCTCGTGTCCTCTGCCTCCGTGCACACCGCAGTTCACCGCGCCGCTGACGGGGTCGATCATCTTCGCCTCCTCTCTCTTGCCCTACTACACTGGAGTCGTTTCCGGCGTCGATCATCTCGGCCTCCTCTCTCGTCCACTGCACTGACGATAGCATGGCGCGAGCACTGCATTCTCCTTCTCTGTCCAGCGAGCACCGCAACTAGTTCGTTGACGGTGTCGCGCGCCGTGCCGCCGACGGGGTTGCTCGTTCACGACTCCATGCTTGTCATGCCGGACACGGCGCCACGGCCACTATCCACCGTAGTCTCCATTGTCCGGCGCACACTGCACTTCTTCTTCCCTTCCCTCTGCTAGCTCTTAACCCTGTCTGCTAAGTGAAGTGCTAGCTCTTAATCATACCTCATGCGTGCAACCAAACACCGAGTTCATGTGCCCCTTGAGGCAATGTAGGCAACCAAACAAAGTACACTTGCGTATTACCTAATGCAGAGATCCTAAATGCAGGCAACCAAACAACTCGCAGATGTCGCATATAAGGCTGTTTTTTCGGAACCAGGCTAGGTTGAGATGTGTATGCAACGCAACTACTATTCACTACGACAACCAAACACGCCCTAGGTCTCGAGAACTGGGAGACCGGGAGCTGTCGCGGGGCAGAAATCGTACTACCTCCAGTTTAAAACATCTCTCATCGAAATCGGAATCGAATACTCCAATTCGCACCCTTTTTAAAAATTTAGGACCCATTATTTTGCAAGAGTAATCTCATGGCGTGTATTTGGATTAGGGCATGTACAATGGTTGATAAGATAGTTTTATTTTAAGTCATGCATGTAATTTAGAGATGACAAAAAAGACGTCTACAATGGATCATATCTTAGTCTTATCTTCAATAACTATCTATTCCTAAAAATGTGGTGAGACATATTATGCTAAGAGATCATCTCTTGTCTTCTCTTAAATAAGAGAAGACAAGCATTTTTCTGCGATCGAAACAGGACCCACCCTGTTCAAAATATGATTACACCCAATGATCCCAACCGCAGCTGAAACTGGGCAATAGTCAACAACTAGTGACGGACATCTACACAGTTTAATCGAGAGGCATGTTTCAACATTAATACGCCAACAACCGCATATAAATGAAAAGAGAACATTTAGCAGAACATCACATCCACGGCAACCAGACCTTGATAAACAGAAACCAACAGAGATCCAGATCAACAAACTCTGAAGCAACGTCAAAATGCCAGCACCTTGTACAATGTAAGATAATCCAAAACTCCAGCATGGTACTCAAAACCAAGGGGCAGGTACAATATGCATATATGTCTCTCGCGATACTGCTCCTTAATGCATGGAGCAAGTTCATTTGGAAGCATGAAGACAGCACTATAGGGGGACTAGGGTCGATTACACTCATTCGTCGTCGTCCTCATCGACATCAGCACCAGCAGATGAGTTGAGGGCGTTGAGCCGCTCCACGAGACTGGCCTTCCTCTGCTCGTAGGTCAGCTTCTTGGGATTGTACCTGCAGCGAACAGTCACGTTAACTTGCAATCCAATCAAAGTGCTGAAATCAGTTGTCTGACATAAACAAACAGCAAGATATATCTACCTCTTGTGCGTCTTTGGAGGTTCCTTGGTTGATTTTGCCACGGTAGGATCAGCACGAATAGCAGCATGAACCTTCTTGTACAGTGCTTCCATGTCATCAATCTCAATCCCCTTCTTGATGTACTCACTGAAGTGAGATTGGTACTTCTCAGGCTCCTCATCAGCCAGTGACTGAAATAAGGGTAGGGCAGAAGTTAAAACGAGATTCAGTAAGCTGCTTCAGAAATAAGAATAAAGTACACTGCTTTAGGATACTTTATATGGGTGAATCAGGCCCCAGATATCATTCAGAAAGAATCCATGTATACAACAACGATAACACTACGGAATGAAGAAATGGCATTATAATACCACGAGGGCAATGGATGCAACTCACCTTCATGTAGTCAGCAACATGCCCTCCATAGATGTATTTGCGGTGAATCTCAGCGTCCAGCTGCTTCTCATCCTTCTTGAAGCCAGCAAATCTCTTGTCACTGTGCGGAATATCAAGACCACCATCCAAAGCTCCCTGCATCAGCAAACAGAATCTCACAACCGTCATGCAGCAATCAGAGTTGCACCAAGTATTGAAGTGTTCAACAAGGTTTTTTTCATTAACAAGTGGCCATTAAAAAAAGGTGTTAATATCCTGAGGACAAAACAGTACACCCTCTAACTTAATATAAGACGTTTTTTGACAATATCATGGACTCTAAAAACGTCTTATAAAAAGTTAAGGGAGTAATAGTTTAGTATGGACATATAACGGGTCACCCTATAGCGGGGCATAGATTAATCCTAGGCTGTAAGATTGATCGTTTCACAAAGTTAAATAGCATATAGTTCTGTTGTAGATCAGGTAGGAACATCACCAAATAAAATGAACTACATAAACTCTGAGAGCGTAAAAGTGACAAAAGTCTTGAATCTAAATAACCCGACACAAATTGTATGCCTGAGACATTCAAGTCATAAATATGTGTGCTGGCAAAACTAAGTGCAAGTGTGCAACCAATCATTCATAATTTCTTGCAGTTATACAATCACATCATAAAAGATCACATACCTTGAGGGCACCAAACACACGGTTTCCAGTAGTGGTCCTAATAAGGCCGACATCCAAGAGCGCGCGGAAAGGCCTCCTCTCATCAGCTGGCTCAACAGAGAAGTCCTCCCCGGTGGCCTGGAGTCATAAGCAGAATTACAAGTATTTAATAAACGCAGCATCAGAGAAAGTTCGTATGAAAATGAACATTTCAAAGCAAATTATACCTCAACATTGCCCTCATATTCCTGATCCAAATCACGGCACTTGAGCACACGGCGGGCCAAAAGCAGACCAGTGCAGTACGCTACATGACGAATTAAATCAGTTGAACTGAATAAATAGGGCTGCATGCATCAAGATAAAAATTATGCATTTTTAAGTTGAAAATCTACCTGCAGCATAATTGGTGAGGCCAACTTCAAGACCATACCGAGGAAGCTCATGGGAATAGGCAGCAGCCATCACAATATCACCAGCAATGGTAGCGTACACAATTTGCGCAGTGACATCTTTGTTGGTCTAAGGTACTATTGTTAAGAGATACAATATCCATCTACTAGTACTAAAAACTATGGCCATAGATAATCACAATGGAGATGAATAGACGATTAACCAGCGCAACGTGTGACAATGGACAACTTAAGGATACAAATCGTACAACAAACCGGTACTTGGGCGTGTTGTACTTGTTCTTATCTTGGTTAGTGAGCCTGAGCCTGGCCCTGTAATCGGTCTTCCCCTCTGCAAAACAAGCGCAAACGAAAGGCAGCCCATCAGTGACACTATCGACTAAGCCAAGTACAGAATCGTCGAGGGACGGGGCTCAACGTACGTCTCCTTCTCTTGAACTTCACTTGGAACCGCTTGGAGTAGGCCCTGGTCTTCTGGTTCTTCACAAACACCTGAAAATCCATCCAAAAATGCACATGAATACACTATGGACTCGAATCAATCAGAAAAGAAGCTACTGGTGAGGAACGGCATTTAGATCCAAAGAGGCTTCAGGATCTTACCATCTCGCTCGCCTGCTGCGGATGCGGCGGCGGCGGCTTTTCTTGCCGAGGGAGAGGGGTGGAGAAGTGGGAGAAGGGAGGGTTTAGAACGGCGTCGTTGCGGAGGGACTTGGGTTGCAGCTAGGGTTTGCTGCGGGACTTCGATGAAGGACTGGGCCTTGGGCCTTGGGCCTTCGTATTTTTGCTGAGGGAGGGAATTGCTGGACTGAACAGACCGTGGAAAAATATAGAAAGAATTCCTTATTTTTTTCGAAAAGAGGCGCTTTATTACTTAAAAAAATTAAGCATTACACCCGACCTCTGCATAACTAAGATGCATACAGCCAAATAAAGTTTTCTCACACAAACAAAAAAAATAGACAAAATACAAAGAAACTTCTGTGAAACGCCTAAAGCGGAGGGGGCCCAATCCTAAGATCATGTTGCCACCCATGTGGATAAAAGTATGAAACAATTTTTTATTTAACACTATCTTAAATTTTGTTTCCTTATTTGACACTGAAAAACTTTTTTCCCCTATCTAACAACGAGTTTAAATTTTATGTCTTTTATGACACTTTCGTTTATTTTAAGCCTAAACGACACCTAAAAAAATCCTTTTACCCCTCATGTGGTATTTGTGTGTACGGGGCGGTAGCACACATGCGCAGCATCAGTGTCAGAGCAGTAGCGCATAAGTAGCGGCACATACACACGCACACGCACACACAGCAGTAGACACTCGCAGCAACACACGCACACACGCGCGCACACACAGCAGCAGCATCAACACACACACACGCCGCAGCAGCAGCACACACACGTACACAAGCAGCAGCAAACACACACTCAGCAACACGAACGCGCGCGCACACACACACTCAGCAACACGCATGCACACACACTCAGCAGTGCGCGCACACACACACGCAGCAGGAACACACATGTACGCGCACACACACATGCAGCAGCAATACACACGTCCACATAAATGTACCATATGAGGGCAAAATGGTCTTTTCAGATGTCATTTAGATTCAAAATGGACAAAAGTGTTATAAAAGGCACAAAATTTAGACTCATTGTTAGACAAGGAAGAAATTATATGTCGATGTCAAATGGGGCATAAAATTTAAACACGGTGTTAAATAAGGAATTCTCTCTAAAAGTATCCCTTGCCGTATCCTCCAATCGTGTACACACCTCCGTAAAAAAGTCTCGCTTCTCCACGCGTTGTAGAGAGGACCATAAACGAAGAGTCCCGGTACATCTATAGATAACCTACAGCAGAGACATACTTTTATCGTTAAAAACATTATCATTTCTACATAGCCAAAGCGACCAAATAATGGCAAGTCCTCTCACCCTGAGAAGAGTTCTAAACTTATGATCAATCACATGCAACCAGTTGCAAAAAACATTAGCAACACTACAGGGAGGATACAAGTCAGGAGCTATTTGGATGACTGACCATATAGAACGAGCTAATTTGCATTGGAAGAATAAATGTTTTATTGTCTCCTCATGGTGACAAAAAAACACATTGCGGACTTCCATGCCAATTCCTCTTAATAAGGTTATCTTTAGTAAGAATGACTCCGCGACGAAGATACCATGCAAAGATTTTATTCTTAAGTGGTATCTTCATCTTTCAGATCTTCTTATTATTATCAGCTGACACATCAGACTGGATTAACGCTCTATACATAGACTCCGCTCAGAATTGCCCATTCCCATGGAGGTTCCATCGGAATACATCAGACCCATGTGACAATTGCATCGTGGATAACCACTGAAGCAGAATGTTCCACCATTGTAGTCTGGGTCCAATTAAATCTCTTGTGAACGTCACATTCGGCGGAAATGATTCCATCACCATGGCGATAGTATCACCCTTGTGGCGCACAATGTTGTATAGAGCCGGATATTGTTCCCGGAGTGTGGCATTTCCTAGCCACCTGTCCTCCCAGAATCTAATTTCTGAGCCGTCCTTAATCAAGAAGGATCCATAGCAGAAGAAATATTTTTTTTCGTAGCCATTAGACCCGCCCAAAAGTGAGAATCCCCAGGCTTCCAATATATTTGGGATACCGCCTTGGAACCCACATATTTCCTTCTTAGAAGGGTTTGCCATACACCATCTTCCGTTAGTAATTTAAACAACCATTTGCTGAGGAGGGCCCTATTCTTAACCTCAAGGTCATGAATGCCCAACCCGCCTTGGTCTTTGGGATGGCAAACCACACTTCATTTAGCTAGCCGGTATTTTTTTTTTTCTCGCTATCTCCTTGTCGAAAGAATCTTGATCGGAAGTAATCCGATCTATGTAAAACTCCTTTCGGCTACTGAAAGAGGGAAATCATATATAGTACCATATTACTTAGTAGTACTAAATTTATGAGGACCAATCTTCCACCCAGAGACAACAATTTACCTTTCCAACTGCTAAGTCTTTTTGCAGTCTCTTCTCGACGTGTTTCCATTCAGCATTTGTGAGTCTTCGATAATGTATTGGTATCCCCAAATATGTGATAGTAAATTGACCCAACCCGCATCCGAATAGTTCAGCGTATAGGTGGGCCTTGTCTTGAGCCTCGCCAAAGTAAAACAATTCACTTCTATGAAAATTGATCTTAAGACCCCGAGAGTTGCTCGAATGCTGGTAAAATCAGTTTCAGATTTCTTGCTTTCTCGGGGTCATGATCCATGAAGAGAATCGTATCATCGGCCTATTGAAGTATAGAGAGACCGCCATCAACTAGATGATTTACTACCCCATCAATTTGGCCATCAACCTTGGCACGCTCAATCATGACCGCTAGCATATCCGCCACTATATTAAATAGCATGGGCGATATTGAGTCACCTTGTCGCAATCCCTTCTTTGTTTGGAAATAGTATCCAACATCATCATTGACCTTAATGGCAACACTACCTCCAGAAACGAAGCTATGTAGCATAGCACGCCACTCTGCGGAAAATCCTTTCATTCTGAGAGACTGATGAAGAAAGGGCCACTTGACTTTGTCATAAGCCTTTTCAAAGTCTATTTTGAGTACCACCCCATTCAACTTTTTCCGGTGTAATTCATGGACTGCTTCATGAAGGATAACAACTCCATCTAGGATGTGTCTGCCTTGCATAAAAGTTGTATGTGAAGGCCGGACCACATGTTTGGCAACCGAATTTAGCCTAATAGTCGCAACCTTCATGAATATTTTAAAACTAAAATTAAGGAGGCAAATAGGTCTATATTGTTGTATCCTTTCAGCCTCATTAACCTTAGGTAATAAAATAATCTCACTGAAGTTTAAGCGAAACAATTCTAGTTGGCCAGCATGTAGGTCGCTAAACAAAAGTAGGAGATCATGTTTGATGACTTCCCAGAAGTTCTGATAGAACTCAGCGGGAAAACCATCCGGACCTGGGGCTTTGTTAAGCTCCATTAGGAAAACCGCCTTTCTAACTTCCTCCTTGGAGTATGGGGTTGTTAGAAGGTTGTTTTCCTCATCGGAGACCTGGGAGATGTCATCTGTTCGGGGCTCATCCATCATGAAGTTTCCTTCCTCTGGCGCTCCGAACAAATTTTTGTAATAACTAGTGATATATGATTTAAGTTGCTCATGCCCCTCAATCGTGCCCTCATCCTGTTGTAGGGAATGAATAATTTTCTTCTGGTGTCTGCCATTGGCGACTCCATGGAAATATCTAGTATTCGAATCACCTTTTAGGATAAATTGAGAGTTAGAATGTCTGTACCATTTGAGTTCATCTTCACGCAACATGTTAGCTATCTGTGCATTCGAATGATTCTTGATCTCGATTTCATGCTCAGATAAAGGTCTAACCTCTGTCAAAGCTTCTAATTCATCAATGATAGATGAAAGACGAAGCTTTTTCTTTTTGAGGATACCCATCGTATGCCTAGCCCAGCCACCAAGGAATTTATGTAATGCATGCATTTTGTTATTCCATGTGTGTATTGGGGTATGCCCGGCTACTAGTTTCTCCCACACCTCCTTAACCATGCCATGGAAGCCATCCCGAAGCAACCACCCAAGTTCAAACTTGAACTTGCGTCTATGTTGTGGTCGTGGCAACCCAGTAGTTAGGAGAATGGGTGTGTGGTCTGATATAGGCTCGATACGAGGTAGAGCACGAACAGAGACGATAGGAAATTTAGATTCCCAGTCGGTATCCATTAAAACGCGATCTAGTTTCTCATATGTCGGCTCGGGAAGACTGTTCGCCCAAGTGAATTGTCTTCCAATCATCGAAACCTCTCGCATATCTAGACTGTCGATGACAGCATTGAAAAGGAAAGGCCAATGATTATCAAACCTACCGCGGCTTTTCTCATTTGGAAATCGAACCAAATTGAAATCCCCACCTATAAGAATGGGATAGGGATTATCTTTCGCCAGATTAACCAATTCACGGAGAAAATCGGCCTTGAACTCATCCTGGGCTGCCCCATACACGGCGACGAGGGTCCATGTGAAGTTGTCGGCCTTGTTGTGAATATGGGGTTTAACATGAAACTCACCATCCGAACTAGCCAACACATCCATAGTCCCTGTATTTACGCCAAGTAAAATGCCCTCAGAACGACCTCTAGGCGGTCGTGAAACCCAAGTAATGTATATCCTGCCAGAAAGATGGTTAAGCAGACTTACTGAGAAATCACGTCTCCCCATTTCAGAGATAGCCAAGAAAAATCTAAATTGTATTCTCTATTACATTCCACAATGAATAAATGTTTAGCCAAGTCACGAAGACCTCTGCTATTAAAAAACATTCCATTCATGAGGAAACAATAGGAGATTTAGAACACTTCGCCCTCTTATGGGACTTACTATATTTTTTCGAACGTGCGGTCTTTGATTTACGTCCGGATGCTGTAAGCTCAATCAATGAACTGA